TTTCTCTCTATCATTTTGAGTGTAAGTAACATTTTTAAATTCGATGTTTCGATCTTTGTTATTGTCAACAGTCTCGAAATCAACATTGAACCACACAATGATTCTATAAAACTTTTTCTTCAAAACAGTTTTATTTTCACTATCTTTATTTTCTCTTTTGTTGATCATAAATCCATTTTTAAAATTCTCATTTTTTACATCCCACAAGTGAAGTGTCTCGATGTTTAAAAAGTATTCAAGTGTTTTGGAATTCAGCGGAATCGGGTTGAAGTGGAACTTTTCCATATTACCACTGAACTTTTTGCATACTAACTCCAAGTTAATAAAGTCGTTGATAGTTTTAAAATACTTGGAGACAATCATGAGGTGATAACCAGTAAGTCGAGACATTTTGATATTCACAGTTTTTCGGTCTTTAAATATTTTTAAATTTGGTTTTTGCAAACATCTTTAAAGAATTATTGAATTATGTATAATTCAACATTACAAGCTATTTGGGAAATATAGTAAAATATTTAATTCTTGAACAGAAAATTTATAAATTAAATATAATACATAATTTAAATGTTTAAAAATCATTTACAAAACATCACCGCAAATATAATAAATTGTATGGTTGTTTTGAAAGTTTGACACCAAAGCAACCGATCTAGATTATAGCTAGTATTTTAAGACAAACACGAAATAGTTGTAATTGAATGATCATATTAATTTCGCGTTTATAAAAACCCAAACAAACGAGTGGTATTATTTTTGTAATGAAGTTGAGACACTTCCACTTATTGGACTAACGAACAGTGAATTTGTATCTGAACAACACTTACTACAAAGTAGTTTGCCATTAACAATTATGGTTTTTATGATTTTCAAATGGAAATACCTAACAATGCACTTAAATTGTACGTAATTGAAATTGTTGACCAAAAAGTTGAGAGTTTTCTTGTAATTAAAAGAAATATGATGAAAGATCCCCTTTTTATTTCATCTGCACTATTAAACTCGTGTTATAAAAATCTTGGGTTATAATCATTTGATGTGAATATGTCAGGACTTAAAGTCTTATTTAAAGAAGTTCAATACAAAACACTTTTATTAAACGAGGTTGTAAAATTAAATAAAGACAGGCTTAGTACCAAAGAACACAACCATACATTTACCAAAATTTACACAGTTTATACCGAAGCCTAATAACGCTTCAGTGTTATTTTATTGATAGTTTTTTGTTTTTAACTTTTTTTAAATAATATTTTTATATAGGAAAAACGTAACACCAACTCCCTGTTTTTTTAAAAAAAACGAGGCAAATAATTAATACAGCTGGTTGTGCAAAGAAAAGTGCCAAGTTTATCTAACTGGAACAAGAACTTTACATTTATATCAAAAATGTAGAAAATGTGGAATTGTAATGTCAAAAAAATGGTCTTTAATTATATAAAACAGCACTATCCACAAATTGAGTTAACCAACAAAAATTATTGGTTTTATGTTTTTTTCTCGAAGATACAACTTTTCTTACAAGAAAATAACACACACTTATATTCAAAATCCACAAGAAGCAAAAAGACGATAAATTGAAACAGTTCTACATCTTACAAGTATTGAAGAAAAACTATTTGGTGTACCAGATGAGGCAATTTTAAATATGGACGAAACCGGAATTGAGTTTGATATGGTCAAAAAACCACTATTGAAACCAAAATTGTCAAACATGTAGGTGTCGCAACTTGTGGAGAGAGCAATGAAAAACATTACTTATTTTATGTATGACAAAAAGTGAAAGTGTATTAACACATTTTGTTATATTTTCTAAATTAAAAATTGCAATAAAAATTACAGGTGTGATAACCGTGGTATCACAAAATAGTTGCAACAACAGCCATATAACGAATGAATGGGTTCAAAAAGTTATAATACCATATAGCAAAAAAGTTGGGATCGACTCCATATCATATTGGATGGTTAACTTCTATGTTCATGTAAAAATTAAAAAGTATCCAACTTTTGATATTGAAATCAACCTGTTTCCAGAAAACTGTACCTCATTTTTGCATCCCCTTGACGTCTATGTGTTTATAGCATTAAAATACCTTCTCAGGAAAAATGGTCGGATTGGATGAGTAACAAAACAGTTGGAAAATTCACTACATAAAGGAAACAGGAAAATGGTTGAAAAAGAAGTGTTTTGTCAGTTAATTGTTGAAGCAGTCAATATGGTTTCTAAATACACAATCAAAAAAATCTTTTTTTCATTTGTGGAGTTGAATCAAAACCACTTAAAAATTGTTTAAATCCTTTATATGACCCGATTATTAATGGTAATGATAAATATTTATCAATAGTTAATTCAATTATGATTTTTATTCAAAATATACAAAATCAATTTTTTATCAAATTTAAATAACAATTAAGTTGTTGTAACAAATCAGGAAACATTAACAATCCAAATTTTTTAATGATGCTCAACCCAAAGAAGATTTTATTATGTCACATTTGCCTAATAATTCTGCTATGATTCGTACAAATTTCAATTATCCTTTACAAGATAACACACTTTTTGTATTTAATGTGCCTTTAGAAAAAAAATACTAATAACGGATTTTTTGATGACAGTATAACCAAACAATCATGTAATATTAAATTAATAGCTTCAAATAAAAACACATATTATCAAACAGACAACGAAGCCGATGATGATTTGACTCCTAATAATTCTCATCCATATCTATATATTTTGGAAAAATATGTATGGAAATGTTCATCAAAATTCGGTCTCTATTTCGTTCAAAATAAAATCAGAGACGATCGTGATGACAATGAATCACTTGAACCAAAAGATATTCAAGAGGAAGAAAATTCACTTGATAATTAATGTTGTTAAAATGTTTCATTTTTTATTTTTTATTAAAACAATTTAAAACGAGAAGTAAATTTATATTTCTTGTGTATCTTTTTCATTGCCTGATAGAGGATATCAAACTTCTCATTAATAGCATTATGATCCTCTTTCATTCGATTCCATGTTGTATCAAATCTCTCTTTGACGAGTTTTGCTACCTGTAATCTGGCATCAGGCTCAAGCTCAGGCAGTGCTTCGTAATAATATGACTTCTTGATCCAGATATCGTCATATCGCTGCTGACTTATTTGTTCTTTTTCATTTGAATCTGCTGGCATTTCTTCATTTAATTCTTTTAAAGCAAATTATGTTTTTGGTACATGAATTCGTACATTTATCTTATCCAAATCAGGAACAACAAACATACAGCTTGATAAACGATTTCCAATTTCATAACCATTTTTGAACCCTTCATTAAAACCTTTGTAATATTCAGCCGATAAAAATTTACTGATACGTTTGTGAATAGCAATCGTAAAATCTTCTTTGTTAATGGCCGCAATTAAACCGTATTTACACCAACACATCCTCTGAGCAAACCCCGATTATTAGTGGATTTTTCTTTTACAAAAAACTTTAAAAAAATAAAACAGCTTGGTTTAAGTTTGGTCTTTGGTTCTTTCTCTATCTCTATTATTATTCATTATAAAAATAATATTAAAAATTATACAAAATATAAATTATAAACTTAAATCGTTAATATATTCAAATGTATAACAACTTTTTAAACGATGAAACACGTTTTATTATGGTTATCATTTTTAGTTACGAACTTAGAATTTCTTGACTCATAAATTTCTTTCATGACAGTGTTATACGATTTCATATTTTTTGTTGCAAAGTCTTTTTGTTTTTTAATAACTTTTGCAATATGAAAGAAACATTCATTGACAAAAAAAATTTGTTTGGCAGACGTTTCTATGAGTGACATGTTCCATTTCTTTGCAAATTTAATAACTTCTCGCTGGGAGACAAGTTGTGTATTTGAATCTCTTTTGTTTCCACAGAGAACACATGAGATCTTTACATTCAAATCCATTTGTTTGTATTTGTTTATAACTTCAATGTATGATTTTAAGCCGCAAAATGTAAAATAATTGTCTATAGAATAGATTAGAACAAAGCCATCGGATTCTTTCAAATATCTTATGTTATAAGAATCATTTTGAATTATTTCACTTGAGTACGTGTCTAATATATCTAAAGCAATTGTTTCATTATCTATTAAAATTGTTTTATTATATGGATCTTCCCAAGTCAAGTCTGTTTCTTCTTCAAATTTGTCGAAAATAAACCGCAACTGTAGGGATGACACTCCAACAAACCAATCACCAAATAACATTAGACGAATGGTTGGTACATTGTCCATATTATTATATGTTGTTCTGAGTAAATTTTGTTTATTTAAAAAACATAACACATTAAAAAGAAATGGTGAAGTTTGTTATTGAATGTTTTTTAAAACATTTTATTTTTTTGTAAGATAGCGTCAGTTTGTTTTATAATAAATATATTATAATTCAATAAAAGTGTCATAATAAAAGTAAATTGTATAAAGATTAAGCTTAACAGTAAGTTAATGTACAGATATAATGCTTTAATTCTATCGGTTATGACCAATCTAGAGTGGATAGAATTTAACAACTTCCCACATATTTGGCACTAAACCCCGCAATAATATTATCAATTGCAAATTTGTTTTTATTTTAAAAAAGTAAAGACTTGGTAATAAAAAAATAAAAAAAGAAAAATTATCAAAAATATATCAAGTTACAAAAAATAAAAGAAAAAAAAAGCAGAAAATGCTCCTCTCAAAATATTAAACTTCAAATGAAAATGATTATAAAAAATGCATCGACTTTTACTCATTAATCACAAGACCACGCTTTGAAGAGATGAATATCGACCTTTTTAATTCTTAAATACATTGCGTTGAGAAGGCGTTAGTAGACATCAATTTGATGAACGGAAGCATTTTGGATGTCGTTTTTATTAATAGGTCAATGAGAATACCAAATGTAGTCCAATCATTACAAAACTTTTTCAATAAAAAAGAGATCAACAAAAGCATCAAACCAGACGAAGATGTTGCTTATGGTTTTGTTGAACAGGCCTTGTTTTGACTGTAAATGGTGAAAAAGTAACAGAAGACGCGTTGTTTCCTAATGTAAAAACTGACATTTTTGATTAAGACAGCTCATTGTGTGATGTTGAAACTAATACCACGAAACACAACAATTCCAACAAAAAAGTTACTTTCGTTTTCGACCAATGCAGACAAACAGCCTAATGTTTTGTGTTTAAAAGTGAAGCTTCAATAACCTCGCACTGTAATTGGTGAGTTGAGTTGATGTTTGAGTTAAGTAGTTTTTTTATTGGCACCACGTAGAGTCCAAATATAAATTCACATTTAACATCAATTCAAGCGGTATCTCGTTTTGCTGGCATTAAAACAAGACATTAGGAAAGAAGAATAAATTCACAATACTATCAACAAAAAATATTCTTTATATCCAACAGATCAACAAGATGGTTGGAAAAGCAAAAAAATTAAAAACATGAAGCTGAAAAAGGAAATCAAACAAGGAACAGACTTCAAAACCATTGTCACAAATTTTTAACACTGCGAACCAATAAATTACTTGAAAGTTATCAATATGAGACAATGTTGTAAACAAGGCCGATGTCAAAAACACACTACAGTTGTCGATTGACAAGAACCATTCCGTATCAAAAGACTGTGTGTTATTACAAAAACACAATAAATTTTTTTATTTTAAAGAAGTTCCATTAATTAAGATCAAACCACTCATTTTTTGAAATCACTGTTTTTGTTATTTAAATAGTCTTATAAATATAGAAACCATTTTGAATAACATTAAAAATACTAAAAGCGTTGTAAAAATATTACAAGGATTTTGTAAAAATATAAATAACTCTTAAAATTGATTTTTTGTACAAATCATACAACAAATAAAATAAACATTCTAATCTCAAACTTTTATTTTTGAAAATGTTCGAATTCAATAAATATAAAATTCAATAATTAACCATTCATTAAATATAACGTATCAACTTTTGTGAAATTTGTTTGCTACAATGTTTTTATTTTATTGGAGATATTTTTATTTATTTCCAATGGCTGGATGAACTAGATGTGATATATGTCCTGATGGATATTACAAAAAGACAAAGACTGTATCAAATGCGACTCTTCGTGTTCAACACTAAAATACAATTTTATGTGATGTCTATGCAAATGACTATTATTTGTATGCACCTTTAAATCTTTTGTGTCAACGTTATGACACTTTAATTGAATGTACCAACAAGACAAAATATGGATGTACCTAATGTAAAGAAGGATATTTTCTTGATTAACCAATTCCCCTTTGTGTTAAATGTATAAACAACTGTACATACTGTGTATCACTTAAAAGTTGTAAATTATGTTCAACGAGTTTTGGATTGAAAATGAAATTTGTGTGAGTTATACTGAAATTCCATATTGTATTTAAGCTTTTAATTACTTGTGCATGAAATGGCAAAAATACAAACCATATGATGATGGTCTTTCATGAAAAAAGCCTAATTTAGCTTTGATCATTTCACTTTTTGTCGTCTTTTTCTTAATTTTTGCAATATTTATAGCAATAAAAATAATGATAACAACTTATTGTATTTGCACCTCAAAGAGAAAAAAAAAGATTGTCAAAGTCTGCATCTTCCCAATGAAAAAGTCGAACGTTCATTTCTTTGAATCAACAAGTGACTTGTTTCAAATAAAAAAGTTTTAGAACTTGAAAATAAAGATACACGAAATGAGAGTATTCCCATTGATAAAAAATTAATTGTTATGTGTAGTACATAAATTTAAAAATCGCATGAAGATTCAGTTTAGCGTAATTAAAAGTTGCAACTATAAAGAAATACGCACAGAGCCAAAACTTGTGAATTTAAAGAGTGGTGAGGCGCGTGAATTCGAAGTTTTTTTGACATCATTATGTTCCTTTCTTAAAATGCACAACGAAGTGCAATTTTGCCAAATTCATGTTGGACGTGGCGAAGGGGATATCTAATTTACATCACAATGGGATTGTACATAGAGATATAAAGCCGGACAATTTAATTATGTTTTTACTTGAAATGAATGAAAGGGTGAATGCAATAATGACGGATTTTGGAAGTGCAAGAAACATTAATATGATGATGAAAAATATGACTTTCACAAAAGGTACTGGAACACCAAAGTATGTGTTTCCTGAAATCTTGAATAAAATATATAAAATGCCGAGTGATATCTTTTTGTTTGCTATTATTATACACAAACATTTACTTGGAAAGAACCATACCCAAAAAGTGAATTTAGATTTGCGTGGAGCATCGCAGACTTCTTGTCAAAAGATAATCACTTGAAGAAAGTAATCGAAACAGACGACAAAATATATTCACTGCTCGATAAAATGTGGTGCTTTGAATTTAAAAATCGAATCAAATTGACGAAGTCGTCGAAGAACTGGAAGATGATATTGGATTTTATGAAAATTAACAAAATACATTTTTGTTGTGTTTTTTAATTGTTGGTTTGAGGTAAAAAATACACAAAAGAATAAAAATTTAATTGTAATTTATAAAAATTGGAAAAAAATAAAACAACATTGTAAAATCTTAATAATTAAAATAAATTACAGTAAAAATTCTATCGGTGTGTGGAGTCATGAAAATGGTTTTCCCAAGGTGTGTACTTTTTTTATTTTTTTTAATTTTTGGCAAAAAAACTAAAAAATAATGAAATTTGTAAAACAATCCACAATTAATTAAAATGACAAAAAGTATTTTTTTGTTTTTTGAAAAAAAAACGTGACACGTGTAAACATGAAATAATATTGTGAATTTTTTAAATTTTTGTATTGTTTAGAATAAGAACAACGCATTGTGTTTTTGTATGAACAAATGGACTTTTGGTGCTGATTGGTTCTTGTCAATTTACAACTCGAGTGTACTTTGATAATTGCTTCAATTGCTGCATAGTTTTCTGTTGATAACCTTGAAAAAAATATGTTGGTTCATTGTGTTAGTACACAGTAGCAGAAGGTGAGTGTCGATTTTTAGTTTCGAAAAGTTATCACCTTGTCGTCCTTTGCCTTGAACTATTTGCGTGTGCAACCATCTTGTCAACCTGTTTTTTAAGAGTCTTCTTTCCTGTTGTCTCGTTTTCAGCCAACACATTTAAAATCCCATTTGCATCAATATCAAATGTGACTTTAATTGTGAGACTCCACATGGTGCTAATAAGATACCAAACAACCCAAACTATCCAAACAAGTTGCAATGTGATGTCATAAATGCCTCGCCCTCAAAGACTTGGATGAGCACGCAAGGCTGGTTGTCTGCATGTGTCGAAAATATCTGTGAAGTTCTTGCTGAAATTAATAAGTTTTGTGGTATCAATTCTGTCATCACACCAATCACAAGCGTTCTCTTGTGATTGGTGTGTAAAAGTGGGTGCATTTTTTATTATCATTTAAAGTTTAATATTTTGAGAGGAGCATTTTCTGCTTTTCTTCTGTTATCTTTTTTGAATTTATTTTTTTTGATTATTTTTCTCTTTTTAAGTTTTTATTACCAAGTCTTTACTTTTTTAAAATAAAAACAAATTTGCAATTGACATTATTTTTGCGGGTTTTAGTGCCAAATATGTTGGAAATCATAAAATTCTATCGGTGTGTAGGTCATTTTTGATTGGTCAAAACCACACATTGATAAAGTCACACACGAATGGAATCGCACCGATAGAATTTCTACTGTATGTATTTGTTGAAGAAAATATTAAATAAAAAATTTCTCATTACAAAAACATTATTGTCGCACAAAAATTAAAGTAATACGAGCCATAATTAATACAATTTGAATAAATGAAACACATTTAAAATTTAACTTAATATATTACAAAACAATATTTTTTGTAAAATGCAAATACAAACATTATTATAAATGTTATAATAAACATATACTTTTTCATTGTATTTAATTTATATCAAATTTCCAAAATAATTATAGTTTCGTTGAAAAATACGTAAAATATTAAAAAGGTGGAAAAACAGCTTCAAAAAAACCGCTTTTGATTTATTAATGGTTAAATGATAATATGATTATAGTTTTTTATATAATTTGTTTTTCCCTTTTCCTCGATTTGATTTAAAAAACAAGGTTTACAAGAATATCTATTACTTTTTCAAGATGCTGATGTTTGTTATTGAAATTTGTGAATTGTTTTTTATGTAAAGTAAAGGCTGGATTTGCCGAATGATAAAAAGAGGAGCAATAATATTGACTTCGAAACTGTTCTTTGAGGTCAAAATAACCAAAAAAACATCTTAAATCAATATAATTAAGTGAAAAAATAATAAACTTTTTATTAAATATTTTTTCATTTTTTTGCAAAAATAAAAAACTCAAAAACACTAACCCGCGAGTGTACCTTTTTTCACACCCCCTTTTCACTCCTTTATATTTTTTTCAATTTTTTAATCATCCATTAAACAAATACTCAAGAGTCAAATCAATTACCTCTCGAGCAACATAGTAAATATATAACCTAGCACGTGTTTTTAATACACAACTTTTCAATGTCTCTCAGCAAAGACCGACTGCACCTTTATTTCACACCCAAATTATTTTTTATTAAAAAATCTATATTTTTTACCCGTCACGCCTCTCCGAGACAAGAAAAAAGAAATAATTTCAAATTTTGTATTTTTTTAAAACGAAAAACAACGAAAATCCATTCCAAAATGTCTTTAGTCTGATTGGGTAAAAAATTAAAATAAAAATAACTCGAGTCTTAAATTCTCAAAGCTGTTCCAAAAAGTGTGCAAATAAGAAAGTGAACCAGGGTTTTTAAAACAAACAAAATAACAAAAAATAATTGAATTATGTTTTACATTTGGTTCGAATGGAAAATCTACCAAAATCGACAAGGGATCGATCATTTACAACCAGTTTATCACACCCCTATAGTGTTGAAAATGCAATGTTCGGAACATGGTTCACAGTCTTATTCAAAATTTTTGTAAATAAATGAACCGTCGTTATCGAATTGCATACATTCTTTAATTTATTCAAATTCGTTTTTTGTTTTTAATATAGTTTTGTTATTTTAATCAAATAAATATTTTAATTTTGTTTTTAAATAATTTTTTGGTTGACATTGTGTATTTTTGCCGTCTATCAGAAGGTTTTGGTTATTTTGTGAAAATTAGTTAAATGATAAAATAAGATTCAAGTTTTTCAATATTTCTTTCAATTGTCTAAATTCGACAATTCTGATGTTTCTTATTCATCTTATTTATAATTTACATTTTTTAGTTCAAAAAAGAGATTTTTGTTTTTTGATGTTGAATTGTGTACAAGTTTCAAAAAATGGACAAATTATGTTTGCTTTTATCACCTTCAGTTGAAAAAAAAGCAATATCAACATAATTATTACTACACAAAGTCTCTCGATAACTTTGAGATTTTTTCCTCGTGTGATTGCTCAACAAACGTTTTATATGATAATAACTTCAATTTATAATATAAACATTTAATGTAATGTTATTACAAAACAATGAACTAAAAAAACATTTTAATATTTTAAAAAATAATAGTTGTTCATTTATACTATTTTTATTGTGATTTAAAAAATCAAAAAACTTGAATTATAACTATTTAATTTATATAAATTTTCAATATGACCAAACTTGAAACTTATCACATGATGGTAATATCACAATACTTTCCATCAATAAAAATCTTTGTATCAATCGAACTTGTTTGCAAAAAATACAACGGCAACATGGTGAAGTTTCACAACAACCCAATTTCTATAAACCAAAAGACTATAAAATATTTTTCAAACATTGAGACACTTAACATATATAATAAATATGACGAAACTTTTGGTAATGACGTTTTCAAGACCACAAAAAAGACAAATACAGCCGACAAAATAAAATTTTTCAAAATCAATGTGTGGTGTGAGGTGAGTTACGACGAATACAAAACTCAAACAAACACGAACATATCATAAAAATACATCAATTACAAATTAAAAGACTATGAGAAGTATGGCCAAATTATACCTAAAAACGTGAAAAAATTGGGTACGAGGTGTTTAACCAAATACAAAAAGCAGTCAATAACAATACCAAATAGTGTAACTTTACTTGAAGATAACTGTTTTTCCAATTGTACTTCACTCCAATTTGTGAAACTTCCAAGTTACTTACAATGCATAGAAAATGGCTGTTTTTATTGCGCTTTTTATTTGAAAGAAATAAACATTCCTGATACAGGAACTAAAATTGGTGAAAACTGTTTCGAATGTTGTTACTCCCTTTCTTCCATAAAATTGCCAAAAGCACTTTTATGTTTACCAAATAACTTATGTGAGAGATGCACAAATCTTCAAACTGTAACATATCCAACAATTGTAGACACAGTTGGATTTAAATGTTTTGATGGTTGTTCGATGCAGTCCGTGCAAATTTTGAATTGTAAATATCGTCTTTGTGCATTCGCATTTTCTAATTGCAAACTTTTGAAGTCTGTGACAATTACTGGGAACTTAGATAAAATAAAATGTTACTGTTTTTTAAATTGTGAGTTGCTTGTTAGTGTCAGTCTACCAGATTGTGTGACTTTGTTTGGTGACCACTGTTTTAATCAATGTAAATCGCTCGAGTTCATTAAACTTCCAGAAAAACTGAATGAAATACAAGTAGGATGTTTTGGTGGGTGTATCAATTTAAAGAAAATTGAAATTGGGAGTAAACTATATGCTATTGGGTCGTGTTGTTTTAGTGGGTGTATCAATTTGGAAGATCTTATACTTCCAAACGGTCTTGTATTGATTGGAGAAAAGTCGTTCTTTGATTGAATAAATTTGAAAACAATTATTTTACCAGAAAGCTTGAAACAAATAAAAGATGAATGTTTTGGTGGGTGCACTACACTTGAAATAACAGTACCAAGCACTCTTGTTTTGATTGGTAAAAACGCTTTTTCAAACTGCAAAAGTGTTATTTATCAAAAGAAAATAACATCAAAACAAGAGTGTATTGTTATATGAATTTTATATAAAATAATATATTAATTCATTTTGAATGTTATTAATTATAATTACAGCAAATCCCGTCAGAATAGCCGAATGCTGTCGGCCATAAAAAATCTTTATAACATTTGTTTTTAATTTATTTATAGTATCATATAGTATTTAGAAGATTTATTGCAGTCAAATTATTTAAAAAATAATAAAAGCATTTTTTAAAAAACAATTTTATTGAGTATAAAAACAATCAACTTTTATACAAGTACCATTGATGTCATCTTGGTAACAATGGTTTTGGATTTAATGAAATTAAAAAGGATGTTTTGTGTTCATGTCTTGAAAATTAAATAAACTGACTTTGTCCAGTGTTATATATGAGTTTCAATTTAAATAAATGTAAATGGTTAAAAAGTGGATTTTTAAAAGTTGATATCCGGTGTTTTGATTTTACCACAAACCCAATAAAACGTTTTTGAGGTGAATTCTTAGCAAACATCTGTTTTCTTTATTCGTTATTTATTTAATTTAACTTTTCTGTGTTTACTGATATTATCATGTATTTTTAAAATTGGTGCCTGTAAAGTTAAAAAAATAAAACAATTATCAAAGTAAATAAGTAGGTGAACAATTGTTATTTTGTTTGAAACAAAATTTAAAGTCGACAATTGTTATTTTACATGATATTATCCACACATACTAATTACTTGTGTTTTTAAAACACAAAAATGGAACTTCAATTTAAAAAGTGATTAATAGAAAGAGTGCCATAAAAATAAAGTAATGTGATACTTTATTTTTATAACACATCATTAGACCCTCTGAAATACCCACAGTTGGCTCGTTTTGATTTCTGACACATCAAAGAAATCTTTTTGTATTTTAC